TTGCTGTGAGCTAGGCTGACGCACGGCACTCACTCTAGCTGGACAACAGTGAGACTCTGTCTCAAAAAAAAAAAAAAAGAATTCAGGTGAAAAAAGAATGGGCATGGGTCACCTTATCCTCTGAGACTCACATACCAAGTGTATAAGGTATCTCTTTGTCTATGGCAAAGAAGGAGTCTAGCAATGATAGAGCTATGTAGATAAATATATGTAGACAAAATTCCATATAATCTTTTAAAAAAAATCCTAATTTTATAAATTCAGAGTTGGAGGATTAGAAGTGGCAAAAGGAAGGTCATCCCAGGCAAAACAGGCCAAGCCAAACTGCAAACTGCTAAGCCTGCTGGCACAGAATCTCAGAGTAACAGGCTCCTTCTCCTCGCCACCAAAGCACTAGGGACCTTGGCCTTTCTCCTTTCTGGAAATCTGCTCCTTGGCCTTCTGCTTCTTTATGAGTAAAATAAATGTGTTGGATTAAAATCACAGCCAACAACCTATCTGTCCATCAGTAGATGAATGGAAAAAAAAATTGTATAGTTGTATGATGGAATACTACACAGCAATAAAAAGGAATGCACTATTGATATACTCAACATGGATGAATCTCAAAATATTATTCTAGGTTAAGAAAAAAAACTCAGACACCTGTCCCCTCCTCCAAAAGAGTACATACTATATGATTCCATTTATATAAATTCTATAAAATGCAAAGGAATCTAGAGTGACAAAAGCAGATCAGTGGTTTTGGGGGAATAGGGACAGCGTGTCCCAGAGAGGGACAGGAGAGAAAGATTACAAAGAGGCATGAGGAAATTCAGAGGCATGATGCATGTGTTCATTATCTTGATTGTGATGATAGTTTCATAGGTATATACATGTCAAAACTCAAATTGTATACTTCATATACAGTTTATTATGTGTCAGTTATATCTCAATTAAGCTATAAAAATATATAGTCACAAAATGATCCTTACATGACTTCCAACTGACTTCCAATTTAATTTTTTTCATGATGATTCTTTGATCTCTTTATTCAACTGCCTTAAAAAAATCATTAGCCCCAAGCAAATATGCTTTTGTTCTTGGAAGGCACAAATCCTGGTTTTTCCAACTGGGAAAAAAAAAAAAAGGGAAGAAAGTTCTAAGTGTAAGCCTCTTAATAATTAAGGATATAGTTCTTCACTCCTCTTCCCCTAAATTCACCAAAACCTTACTGGGATCAAATATCCTGAAAGATCACCTCTATTCTCTGTTTAAGAGGCTAGAGTAAAAAAGAAAAAAAAACTCTAATAAATCAAACAAAAACTTTTGCCAACAACTTCCACTCTTGTGATATAAAAGAACCAAAGCCCCAAGATGTTTAAAGTTGCCTGGTTCCTTTGGGGTTAACCTAGTTACTAATAAAAACGGGCTCTAATGATAAAAGAAGGTGGTCTCTTCTCTGTTTGGAGTGGTACCCCACTAACAATTAGCTTGATAAGAGGACCGAACAAACAGCAATCCAGAGATAGGGAGATGTGGATTGCTGGGAGAGAGTATTTTTTATCCCACTTCAACCTATAACTACAAAATGAACTGGCCCAACTGGAAGTTTCACAATTTCTGACCACAGGTCTACATTCCTAAAAGGTTACATGTGAAATAAATGTGGGATGTGTGTATGTGTGTGTTTTAAATTGAATCATTTCCTAATTCATTTACTATAATAAAGAAATATACTTGGGATGATTCAAATTCTGCCTTTGCAGTTTACTGACATTGTGAGCTTAGGCAATCCCTTTATTTTTCAAAACTTCAACTTCCTCCTCTAAACTAGAGTTAAACTCAAAAGGCTGACTGAAGATTACGTAAAGCAAGAAAGTGTAAGGCACTGGGCCTGACACATAGACAGTACTCAATAATGCCTTATGAAATCTACAATGTAAATACCTCTTGAGATACAATTTCAGGAGCCTTATCTCTTCCTCTGACAAGCCTCCATTTGGCTGTTACTCAGTATCACGTAATTTTAAACTTATCCTTCTCTCACCCTGTGTCACCTTAATAATCTGAACCCACAAACAGGCAAGAACACATTAAGGGAATTTGCTATTTAATACAGCAACAAGGCCGGGCGCGGTGGCTCACGCCTGTAATCCTAGCACTCTGGGAGGCCGAGGCAGGTGGATTGCTCGAGGTCAGGAGTTCGAAACCAGCCTGAGCAAGAGCGAGACCCCATCTCTACTATAAACAGAAAGAAATTAATTGGCCAACTAATATATATATATATATATATATATATATATGTAAAATTAGCTGGGCATGGTGGCACATGCCTGTAGTCCCAGCTACTCGGGAGGCTGAGGCAGAAAGATTACTTGAGCCCAGGAGTTTGAGGTTGCTGTGAGCGAGGCTGACGCCACGGCACTCACCATAGCCTGGGCAACAAGTGAGACTCTGTCTCAAAAAAAAAAAAATACAGCAACAGTTAACAGTGAACACTTAAAATGTGCCAAGCCTTGTGTGTAGTTTTCTTGATCTGTTATTTAATCCTCACAACAGTCCTGTAAGGTTCATATTATTATTACCTCCATTTTACAGATTAAGAAACTGAGTCACAGATAGATTAAGTTGTTTTCCTAAGGTTACAGGGTTAATAAGAGGCAGGGGCCGTGATTTCAACTTAGGCAATCTGACTATGGGATGTCTGACATTAACCACCACTCTATACCACAAGTTTTTCAAAAAAATGAACTTTTACACACTATTGTTAAACAAATCATCTCAGACTTACCTGCTTGATAACTTTGGATACTTAGTCATAAAAATCACAGGTGTGTCTTAAGAAAGGGATTTTTAGAACCATTACAGCATCCTCTAATGAAGTCTGCTACCTACCTTTAGGTAGGACCACAACTAAATAACTCAGGCCTGGTAAAAAAAATCTCTTGAGAATCAAAATCCCACAACTTCTACTCAAAACTCATTCCAAAGTTTAATAGTCAGGAAATTTTTTCTGCTTTTATTATTTTAATTGACACATAATAACTGTACCTATTTTTGGGTAGGGTGGGGAGAATGGCGGATAGCTAGAGGTTGGTTAAAGGATATTGTTAAATTACAAGTTATTTAAATACTTTATGCTACAGACTAAGCTCTAATGCCTAATTCTTTGGGTTGATAAGCCCTAATATTTCCATTTCTCTTACTCATTCACTCAATATTAAATAACCATTTATTAAGCATGCCCGGCTGAGTTACATCACTGAACATGGAGAGAGCAAAGCTCTCAAGTTCTGACAGGGTCCACCGAGAGACTGGCCGGCTGTGTCTACGTATGTGTGAGGAAGGGCGGGTGCGGTGACAGAGTGCAGGGAGGAGAGGCCCTCATTTATGGAGGCGGGCACACAGAGCTCCCAGACAGCCCCGTGTGGCTCAGTTGTGGCCTTACATCATATTAATACAATGCTGAAACATCCCAACTACAAACTCAACCCAGAGCAAACCCAGAGGAGGAGAATGGGCCAATCCCAAGCAGCCACGCCTGGAAAACCTACACTTTCCTTTTCCTGGGTCCTAAATCTGCCTGACACCATCAGTTTGCCATCTGCCCTGTGTAAAAAGTTTTTCATTTACTGAAGGGTACAACTGAAGTATGTAGCCTGCGAACAAAATAACTTCTGTGACTGAATTAGAGACGCCCCAATGTAATGCTGCTGTCCCATACAGGCTGACAACAGCGTGAAGCCCTTCACTGGGAGACACAGTCTGGATCCGGGTCCTGGTGCATGTCCTCAGGCTGTGTTTACTGAGCACCTAAGCCCCGAGGGTGCAGAAAGAAACACGGTCGCCGCCCTGCAGGAACCAACAGTCCACTCAGGGGGACTATGACGTGCACAGACTCCCGTGCACCCTGGCAGGCGCTACGAAGGCAGTCAACTCAAGATCTTAAGGACATGCAAAGGAAGCTCTCGTGGACTGTTTTTACCCTCCCACCTCCCTGCATTTCTTAGATTCTGTTCATTAAAATTGGAATGATAATTCCTTGTTAATCTACTTTAAAATGTTGCGGGGATTTCAAAGGATAAAGCTCCCAGAGAAGTGTTATTTATTCAAAGCAGGTGTTGCGACACAACGGTGCTAATCTGCACCTTTAAAAGCCTGCTTCATTCATCTGTTCCGCAGGAAAGAGACCGGCTGCGACGCGCCAGTACCTGCGCAGGTGGGGGGAAAAAAAAGACGCGAGTCCTGAGCAGCGTCCGAAGTCACGACCTTGGAAGAGGATACCCCCGGGAGTCCTGTCGCTCACTTTCCGGGCGCCCCCCACGTCCCCACCCTCACCCCCGTCCCCCCACCCCGCGGCGAGAACCCCCAGCTCCGAGGCGCGGGCGATCCCTGGCGGCCACTGGCGGACTCGGAGCTCTCGCGTGCGTACGCGCGCGCGCGCGGGCTGAAAGCAAGGCGGAGGGAGACGGGGGTGTGGTCTTCTCGCGTGAACTGATGGCGTCATCGAGGCGACGGCCCGGAAGGAAGTAGCGTGCTGAGGGGTGTGGCGGTTTCTGCAGTTGCGCCGGGGTTCGGACGAGTACGGAGCGCCCGGAGGGACAGCCTGGTACGCGGCCCCCGCCCCTCAGAGCGCGCGCCGGGCCTCGTCGCGGCTCCCGGCCGGGGCTGAGCCGCCGTCCTCCGGCGTCCCTGCCCCGGCAGCCCCTCTCCCCTAGCCGGCCCGCTCTCGCAGTGAGGAAGGAGCCCGCTTCTGTGCGGTCCCCTCCCCGCGAGCGCCGGGCGGGACCGAGCGGAGCCTCCCCGGGCGCCAGCCCCGACCCCGGGCGCTCGGCCCTCCCTCGGAGGAGGGCGGGGAAGGGGCGCGGGCCGGGGCGGGCGGGCGACCCCGGGGAGGGCAGGGTATCTGCGGAGCGGACGCAACTGCAGATCGGTAGCTGGAGGCCGCCACGGTAAAAAAAAAAAAAAAAAAAAATCAGCGCCTCGTAGGTGCCCGCGCCCGAGTCGTGTTAGACCCGGAGGCAGAGCCCACGCCCCGCGCTGACGGGCCGAGCACGCCCGACTGAACGTAGCTGTCAGTCACCGTAGTTTCTGCAGGCCCTGCAGTGCTCGGGAGTTAGCTTCCAGACGCCCGCTCTTCTGCGTCCTGGTGCCCGAACGCGGTGGGACCGGCGAGGAGCGCAGCGTCCCCCAGCGTGGGGCACTCCCTCCTCGAACCACGCGCTTGGGGGCAAGGTGCAAAGTGCCCGAGTGTGTGGGAGGCAGTGTGGCTTCCGTCTTGTTCGGAGTCGGTTCCGTTTGGGGCCAGAGGAATCACCGGGAAGGTGGATGAGGAGAGGCCAGAGAATCCCACCGTGGCACTCCACTGGCATGCTGTCTCTGTCACTCCAGCATCTGAAAGGAGTAAATAATGGTTTCCTTTGAGACGGCAGGCAATTAGGACAGGGAGGCTCTGACCAGAATTACATGGCCACAACTGCCCGTCACTCGACATCCTCTGTAATTTGGGCCAACGTAACCGCAGCTGCCTCTCTTCCCCACTGCTAGTATGAGAGGCTCCGGTGACAGCACATTGGTGTTCACAGGAAGGGAAGGCTGTGTTCTGAACCCTGCCCAGCTGGCACTGCTTCTCCCTTGGGCAATGGCTCTGTGGAGCCAGTGCCCCTTCAATGCAGTGGAGGGTGTAATTCCAGCAATTACAGAATGGGAATGTTGACTAAGAACATGGATCAAGTGAGTTGTGAATCTAGCCTTGTGTTCATGCTCTGCCAGGCTGGATATGAGCCGCTTTCAGGGAACTCAGCTTGGTGAGGTGCTCTGGCCATGTAGCTTTTCTTCTGCACACCGGACCCCACACGTTTTCCCCTATCTTTTTCCCTAGGACAAAGGCTCACTGATGGCTCAGTTGGGAGCAGTTGTGGCCGTGGCTTCCAGTTTCTTTTGTGCATCTCTCTTCTCAGCCGTGCACAAGATAGAAGAGGGGCATATTGGGGTGTATTACAGGTAAGGCAGAGACAGGTAGAAACTTGCAACTTCCTGTTAAATGACTCCCTCTCCCTCAGGCAGTCTTGGTTCCACACTACTAGGTTGCCTGTACAAAAGCCGGCTGAGTCCCAGTTCTTGGTGGCAATTTGAGAAGAAAACCTAGTCTGCTAGTCTGGGGTGCTCCTTTCAGATTAACATTTCAGGAAAAATGAAAGAGCCTGCAGGTTCATTTATGGCAATTAAGGCAAGTCTTACTGACAGAGGTTCTTACAATAAAGTAGCTCGTTATGCCGGTTTATTTTATTGCTTGTTTTCTTTAAAAAAAAAAAGTTCTTTGACTTCATAATATAAAGCAAAGGAGCACTTGTAAACCTCGGATTGCTTTCCATTTAGTAACCTCTATGACCATGTTTTTTGCTTTAAGTATTTATGAACCCCTTCTTATATGTGCCCTATGCCTATTTCTGGGTTGCTGAAAACAAGTTCTAAAACTCTTGAGTTCCCCCTCTCGCTTATTTCTCCCTCCCATCTCCTTCTATGTTCTTGAAAAAGGCTTTTATCATTTGCGTGCAGCTTGACTAGAAAAGTAACCCTACTGCCAAATATATATATATACACACACACACACACATACATATATATATATTTAAATGACTTATAAAGTATACTTAAAATTATTTTGGCAGGTCATGTCACTGGACTCCCAACATTAATACAGTTAATTGATAACCATATCACTGGACTGCCCTAATGGATTGCCATAAACTCAACAGATATGAGAAGTAAAACAGATTTCCTCTCTTATCTAAGTATAGTCAGGGATTTTGCTATCTTCATGCCACTTAGCCTGTGTGCCCATTTTTCCCATTGCCAAAGCATGAATAATGGTTTTATGTTTTACCATCAGCCTTCCTAGAATATTAAGGTCGAGCTGAGAGGACGAAGGGGATCTGCAGACATGGCCCTGGCACATGTCACTCTCTGTTAAATGTTCATAGGGCTGAAAAGAAAGTTGGCCCACATGGCACTGATGTAATAGGTCCCTGTTGCTAAACCAAACCTGCCCTCTCTCCGTCCTGCAGAGGCGGTGCCCTGCTGACGTCAACCAGCGGCCCTGGTTTCCATCTCATGCTCCCTTTCATCACGTCATATAAGTCTGTGCAGGTAAGCTTGGCTGTGTGCTGTGGTTGGATGACTGCAAATTTGGGCTGTGGACTAGCGCATCATTTGAAATTACGTAGCCTTTTTGGATGAGTAAAATGCCTTTTCAGAGAGCGATTTAAGGATATGTGTGTATAAATACACATATACACACACATAAAAGCCAGAGAAGAATCTGTTCTGAACATATAGAAGGAAAAGGGGTGGTGGGCGTGTGTGTGTGTGTGTGTGTGTGTGTGTGTGTGTGTGTGTGTTAAATCACAGGCTGCCGTGACAAAGGGAAATAAAACATGGTAATTTTGCTGATCCTTATTTGAACTTCAGAAATGTGAATATAATTTTTGTGGGGGTGGGGGAGTTGAACTGGGTTTGGTGAAATGACATCTGAAATAGGAGTGGAGGCTGGGCGCAGTGGCTCACACCCGTAATCCTAGCACTCTGGAAGGCCAAGGCGGGAAGATCGCTCAAGGTCAGGAGTTCGAAACCAGCCTGAGCAAGAGCGAGACCCTGTCTCTACTAAAAATAGAAAGAAATTAATTGGCCAACTAAAATATATAGAAAAAATTAGCCGGGCATGGTGGCGCATGCCTGTAGTCCCAGCTACTTGGGAGGCTGAGGCAGGAGGATTGCTTGAGCCCAGGAGTTTGAGGTTGCTGTGAGCTAGGCTGACTCCACGGCACTCTAGCCCAGGCAACAGAGTGAGACTCTGTCTCGAAAAATAAAATAAAATAGGAGTGGGATTGATTGTGACAAAACTAAAGCCTGACTAAGTTAGACAAGCTATCTCTGCGGTATCTCTAGCTAAGAAGAAGAATAAAATTTTCAGAATGACTTTTAAACTAGCCCTGTAAGTTTCTTCTGCTATTTACCATGCTTTATGGCTTTCAAAGTACATTCAGGTACATTATCTCATTAGTGTCTCAGTAATCCTGAGACTGAGCTGAGCAGGTGTTACAGTCTGAGACAGGTTAAATAAGGAACCTGGTGTTGCAAAACTAGTACAGTGCACTCGTATTCACAGTTTCACTTTCCACTGATTCTGTAGCCTGTGGTTAACCACAGTCTGAAAATAGGTGAGTACAGTACAGTAAGAGGTTTTGAGAGAGACCACATTTCACTTACCTTTTATTACAGTATATTGTTACAATTGTATTTTATTAGTAGTTAATCTTTTACTGTACCTAATTTATAATTTAAGCTTTATTATATGTATGTATATATAGGAAAAAACATGGTGTGTGTACGTGTATATGTATGTGTGTGTGTGTGTATGTGTGGTTCAGTACAACCCAAGATTTCAGGCATCCACTGGGGGTCTTGGAACGTATCCCCTAAGGGTAAGGGGGACAACTGTAAACGGAAGAGGCAGAAATAAGCACAAGTCTTAAGTACTCTTCAGATTCCCAATATATTCTTCACTAAACCTTGTTACTCCTCCCTGTGGTGGTTCACTGACGGTGAAGCTCGGGAAGGTCGCTCTGCTTGGTTCAGCAATCACACCCTGTAAGAGAGGAGGGCGAAGTGGGGTATTCATGTTTAACAGAAGCAAAGCTCAACTCAAACATTTGTTCAAGGACATTTGGGTTTCTGAAAAGTTACTTGGCTTGTCACTGCCCATCTTCCAGCATTTTATATTTCCTCTGTTTCCAGACCACACTCCAGACAGATGAGGTGAAGAATGTACCTTGTGGGACTAGGTAAGTTGCCCAGAATAAAGGTATTAAGCCCAAATAAGTAAGAGGAAGAGCTGTCGGGCTGGCTGCAGGAAAAGACAGTGAAAAGGGAGGCACCCTTTCTCGGTGGTTTTACCGAATTCCCTGTGCCTTAGCTCCCTATATTCTGGCTGGACCAGGCTGTGGAGTGCAGTAGAGAAAATCATGGAAGGTTTCGGAGGAGCTATCACGTGTGATAAGAAGTTTGCACCTCTGTTAGAAATGAGGATGCACTAAAGGCTTTTAGCAGATAAATGGCCTGATCTAGGAAGATGACTTTGGCATAACTAACTAAGGAGAATGTCCTAAAGGGAAGGGAGACCTTTGGGGCAGGCGGTCCAAAGAGGATGCTATTGCAGTGTCCAGTTAAGAAGCAAAGAGGATCTCAGAGTAACAAGGTCAAGAATGCCACAAAGAAACACTCTGAAAAATCCAGAATTGGAACGTCCCACAAGAGAACTGCCCTGATCTCTTTACAAAGCGGGTATATTTAGAGGGGTGCTGGATTGAAAAAGAGACTTGCAAGAGACATAAATAAATGCAACGGTGAACCTCGATTAGAACCTGGCCCAAAATTAACAGCTGTAAAAGCCACAAATGGGAACTATGTAAGTCTGCTCAGACTGCTGGAACAGAATACTGGGGAACTCAAACAACAGATACTTATTTTCTCACCATTCTGGATACCCAAAGTCCCAGATCAAGGTGCCAGCAGGGGTAGTTTCTGGTGAGACCTTTCTTCCTAGCTTGCAGATGACCACATTCTTGTGTCATCACATGGCTTTTCCTTTCTTTGTACAAGAAGAGAGGAAAAGATGTCTGTTGAATACCAGTCCTGTTAAACTTAATTAACTTCTTAACAGCCCTGTCTCCACTATAATCACATTGTGGGTTAGGGCTTCAACATACAAAGTGGGCGGCAGGGGTACCCATTCAGTCCATAACAGGAACTACTGGGGAAATTTGAATAAGGACTGGGTATTAGATAAAGTTAAGGAGTTTTGCTAATTTTCTTAGGTTTGGTGATGATATGATTATGTAGGAGAATAGGATTATTCTTAGGCGATACTTGCTAAATAAAGTGTTAAGGAGTAAGGTATCATAATTGCAACTTACTTTGAAATGTTCATAGAAAAAGATTAACAAATAAGGTAGAATGTTATCAATGTCGAATTTAAGTGTTGGTATATGGGTGTCAATTGTACTATTCTTTCAGCTTTTCTGTATGTTTGAAATTCTTTGTATAATATTTGAGGACAAAGGGAATGCTTAACTAAAGCGATGGTGATGACAATGTGAGAAATATTGACTGTAAAATTCCACAGTAACCTTGTAAGTTCTGAAAACTTCTCGACTTTCTTTAGTCTTGTCCCTGTAATTGATTGCTTTAATCAAAAGGCATTGCTGATTCAAAAGTTATGAACTACTCTTTTCATACTGGGCACCCCAAAAGTCTCACTTGTGTCTTTGTGGAGATATTTTTAGGCGGTGTGATTTCTCGGGAGATTGTATTATTGCTGTAAACTCTAAAGATCTCCTACATGAAGTTCCAAGATGCCTTCCAACCTCCTGTGAACTCTTTCAGGAGACTACACTATATTCCAGAGCTTCTAGTGACTTTTTTTTTTTTATTCATTTTCCCTCCAACAGTGGTGGTGTGATGATCTACTTTGACAGAATTGAAGTGGTGAACTTCCTGGTTCCAAACGCAGGTAGGCCTTCCAGTTTTTTCTCACCCAGCATACCACCCTGGATCTGTCGTGGCACCTCAGCGAAGGAGAACTGCTTTGTCTGACAAAGTCTTGAGTCTTGCCCTTTCTCATGCGGAACTCTCCCCTTCCCTCCCAGTGTATGATATAGTGAAGAACTATACTGCCGACTATGACAAGGCCCTCATCTTCAACAAGATCCACCACGAGCTGAACCAGTTCTGCAGTGTACATACGCTTCAGGAGGTCTACATTGAGCTGTTCGGTAAGAAAGTCTGTCCTGATCATGCCGTGCTGAGCAGCCTGCTTCTCCCCACTGCCTGATTCTGAGCAACCCACAGGGTAGGATGGGGACTTACGGAATCCAGTGCTCAGAACTGGTCACAGCAGGAGTTGCTGGCAAACAATGATGACAATGGAAGAAGATCCTTAGAATGGTTGAGCTTTGGCCACAAGAATAATAGTGGGATAGAGTGTCACTTCTGGCCTGAATCAGGGGCCTGGAATGGAAATCTGTTCCCACTGTCCCTAAAACATTATTCTATGATGAAGACAAGGTCAGTTCTAGAAAAACCCTAGAGATTATCCAGGCCAACATCTTCATTTTAAGATAAGGGTCCTGCAGCCCAAAGTGAGAAGGGCACAGAGCTAGTCACTAGCTGATGGCAGAGCTGAAGCTGGGACTTTCATCTCCTGGCTCTTACTTCAGTGCTCTTTCACCACACCACACTGAATGGAGGGCACCCAGGATGGGTGATGAGAAGGGTCTGGTTTCCAGGTAAATCTAGAAGCGAGATGAGAACCATAGCTCCTAACAGTTCCCAGAACCTTTGTGGGTTTTTTTTTACCCTGTACCTGTAGAGATAAATAGAAAAATGTTTTCAACAAAAAGGATCCGTTGTGCTTAAGTAAACACCTTTCTGACCATTTGACCTGGTCAGAGTAAACGCAGCCTGACTTCAGTGGCAAAGGAAGGAAACATTTCAGTAATTGTTATAACTCTTTTGTGCTAAAGTATTCTGTTTAAACTTGCTGCTAAAAATTTTCTAGGAGCTTATGCTAAAAGTAAATTAATTTTTCAACCAATAGTACAACTATTCTTGTTACTAGGACTAGACAGTGATTTTTTCCCCAGTAATCTTCATAAAGAGGACCCTGAATGAGAATATTTTTTATAGTAGACAGAAGGAGAAATCATCAGCATTGCTAGTGATCATAATTAAACAAACAGACTTTTGCACTGTTTAAGATTTAGGAGATCATTAGAATCACTTTTAATTTTTCTGCAGTAGAAAATGAATCTAAATTCATTTTATAGAGTTTGTATTCTTTTATCAGTTTTGGATTCTGTGCTTTTCAGAAAACACTGGTAAATTTGCTAATTTTCTTTTTTTTTTTTACCTCTAACAGAATTTTATAAAATACTAATTTTCTCTCTAGCCATTGTTTTAGGACTTGTGCCATTATATGAACATTTGAAAGCATTTGAAACAGTAGAAGACAAAGGATCTCTAATGTCCCTAGAGAGAATATTAAAATACTAATTCATCACTTCTAAAATACTAATTTTCATCACTTCTTTCTGATACATTCTCTTTGCTTATTTTATAAAAATATTGTCTAATACTTGTTAAGAAGTTTACCTGAAGGGCCTGTGTTTACTTAGTAATACCACTTACATGACATTTATCAATATTACCATATTAACAACTTACTATCAGTATTACTAAAACACCTTGCAAAATATTTCTTCCAGATTTTCCCAGGAGGTTACTAACTCAGAGCCACAGGTTTTCTATCTTGACTCAAATATAATTTGGTCTGATGAATGACTTCTATTATTAACTTATGAAGGGTACAGGCCATCTAGCTTAAAGTTTGGTTGGTATTCTATTTAAAATACAAAATATGGGCCAGGTGCAGTGCTTCACACCTATAATCCTAGCACTCTGGGAGGCCAAGGTGGGAGGATCACTTGAGCTCAGGAGTTCAAGACCAGCCTGAGCAAGAGCGAGACCCCGTCTCTACTAAAAATAGAAAAACTTAGCTGGGCGCTGTGGGTGTTGTGGCTTGCACCGATAGTCCAAGCTACTCTGGAGGCTGAGGCAGGAGGATCACTTGAGTCTAGGAGCTTGAGGTTGGAGTGAGCTATGATGATGCCATTGCACTCTCCCCAGGGTGACAGAGTGAGACTCTGTCTCAAAAAATACAAAATGTGAAATATAGTATTTATTTCTAGTTGTTATATTGTTAGACCCCTAGCAGGTGGGGGCCGCTGACTTGATGGCATTTCTCCCTCCATGCTGAGAGGCTGTGGGGGCATATCCAATACAGAGAAACACCACGATCCCTTGCTTACCCACATACTGTTTTAAAATCCTAACAATCAAAGCATAGTAACAAAACAAGTGTATTATTTTGACTACTAGCTAGCTTCCATGGGCATCGGTTTTGGCCTCTGTAGAAAGAAGGAGACTTGTTCTTCCTCTTGCTTGGGCACAGGTGACCAAGGAAGGTCCACTTAAAGCAGATGGCAGCTGACAATGAGGAAGGTGATTAAATTTATAAGTCCCAGCCTGGTTGAATGCAGTCTTTTTCTCGAACCCTCCTGGGATCTTATTGTAGAGCTCCTAGGCAGAAGGCAGGGAAGGGGGCTATAAAACCCCGAGAAGGCCCTGCCAGAGCAGGCAGCTTTGGTGCTGCTGTTCCGAGGGCACAGCTGGAAGGGGGGGACGGGGGAGTCAGTTATAGCTGCTCCTACACTTGCCTGTGAAACGATTCACATGTGAATTCCAGACAGAGGAATCGGGACCAAAGCAAACAGCACATCAAAAGACTTGGGCTCGTGTCCAGAATTGTAAATTTTAATTTTCCCCTTGTGGTGTTTGATGGATTTCCTAATAGAAACAGTCTTCACTGGGGCTCTCCTTGACGTCAGAGTCTGTTTTTCTTTTAGAAACTTCTAAATTACTAGAATTAATGTGCTCAGCTTTTTTCAAAAGACCTAACATAACCAGTCCACCTTCCTTCTTCGTGGAAACTGTGAGCCTGCCTTCTCTCTTGCTGCACTTGTCTGAAGAAAGGCTGATTGATGCCTGTCTTCAAGAAATGTGCTAGAATTGTTATTTGTTGTTGTTGGGGGGTGTGTGTGTGTGCGTGTGTGTGTGTTTAGCTCAGATCCTCTGTATGGTATATTTGATATTTTCAGCAATAAAGTTGATTTTATCTTTTATGCAGAAGCCACAGAAAAAAGATGTCCTTACATTTAGCTGTACAGAGGGCTGCCAGGCACACTGCTCCAGAAGTCTTGAGATTTCTGGACTTTGACAAGTACCCTACCTTGGGAAGACCTTTGCCCACAAGGCACATGCCTGAGCCAGTGATCTAGCTTGTCCTTTACCCACAGACTGCCCTCGCCCCTGTCTGGGAGGTGTAACAGCTCCTTTTTCTGTGTCTTTCTTGATTCCAGATCAGATTGATGAAAATCTCAAACTGGCTTTGCAGCAGGACCTGACCTCCATGGCTCCTGGACTTGTCATCCAAGTAAGCACTGCCACCGTGGGGGAGTCCCCGCTCTCTGTCACTGTGTCCCCCCTTCCAAGGGATGACCTTTGGTGCAGGAAGATCAAGGCCCAGGGGACCTGCTTATATCCCTCACCACCCTCACTCTCCTCCCATCAGTCACTGTCCTTATCCTTCTCCAGGCTGTGCGGGTGACAAAGCCCAACATACCCGAGGCGATCCGCAGAAACTACGAGTTGATGTGAGTGCGCCCTGCACCTGCGCCCCCGGCCACCACTCTCCCACCCCCCACCTCATCCTGTCCCAGAATTCACGGGAGCTGGGCCAGGCGTTTCAGTGGTTCCCTTGCTTGGGTATTTGCGGCAGCCGCTGCGCCGTGACAAGGGACAGGCGTGTCAGGAACATCCCTGGGCCTCCTTAGCCATGATCGAGAACCCCGGGAGGGGCCCTTTAGAACAGCAAGGCTTTTTTAAAAGGGCCAGTGGGCCTTGTTTGTGTTCAATGGCTCGTGCCAAAGGGGGAGATGGGAGGGAGAGATGAGTGAGTGGACAGGCAGGTGTATTTCACTAAAGTAAATTATGTTTTATGTCCCACAAATGAGTTATTTTGGAGGAGGAGAAGAACCATATTACTGTCTGCAGCAGATCAGTTTTTTACCTGGGCCATTGAACGGCTTTCTAGGAGAGAGTAAGAAATCGCAGTTTGCCTGTCCTCGGCCGAGGGGTTCGACTTCTCCAGGGGACGGTGAAGTTCCCGAGAAGTTTCCCCATACGACCTCACAGCTGCACTTTTTTCCCCTTCAGGGAAAGCGAGAAGACAAAGCTGCTCATCGCAGCCCAGAAGCAGAAGGTGGTGGAGAAGGAAGCGGAGACGGAGCGGAAGAAGGCCCTCATTGGTCTGGATGTGGTTCTCTGCTCCCCCTGTCAGGGCGGAAGGGCTGGGCATGGTGGGAAGATGCCAGGAAGGCCCGGGCGTGGTTAGAGCACGTAGCCCTCCAGACGTTTCCACCTCGCAGGAGTGGCATTCACACGCCCCGAAGCAAAGTCGAAATTGTCAGATTATGGCCGGGGTAATGAGCTTTGAGTTTCCACGTATCTCTTAGGAGAGAGGAGCGCTTCCTGTCAGTTCTTAACTTCATAGTAATAATCGCTAACACTCGGCTGGGCGCTGTGGCTCACGCCTGTAATCCTAGCTCTTGGGAGGCCGAGGCGGGCGGATTGCTCAAGGTCAGGAGTTCAAAACCAGCCTGAGCAAGAGCGAGACCCCGTCTCTACTATAAATAGAAAGAAATTAATTGGCCAACTGATATATATATAAAAAAAAATTAGCCGGGCATGGTGGCGCATGCCTGTAGTCCCAGCTACTCGGGAGGCTGAGGCAGGAGGATCGCTTGAGCCCAGGAGTTTGAGGTTGCTGTGAGCTAGGCTGACGCCACGGCACTCACTCTAGCCTGGGCAACAAAGTGAGACTCTGTCTCAAAAAAAAAAAAACTGGGGGTAAAAAGTAGTTAAGAAATAAAGCTCATGGGTTGACCCCAGAAAGACAAAAGGGAAATTTAACAACTTCACATTTACAGAAAGTTGCCTAATGGTCAGCTAGCTATTCTCTAGCCACCAGGGACCAGAGAAGAGGAAATTAGCTTGAAGAATGGAGTGTTTTAAAAGAATTTACTTAAGATGAGCCGAAGTTTGAAATGGGGAGAAGTAGTTATCTGCAAATAGAAAATAAATAAGTCCAGGGACTAGCGTGGATAACATTTCTTCTCCGATGGTCTTCAGAAATTGGGAAGATTCTGCGCTATTTGGGATGGTTTAAATGTCATTGTTTCGGTATGAAAGATCAAATGATCTCTGAAGGTCCTTCTTAGGTGTAGGGTTCTAGAATCTGTGTTGACATTTCAAAAGCCAAATGTAACAGCATGTTTGCAAAGGGATTGCTGTCATGGGCTACTCTCCCTGAACTCATTTAGACTGGGACATGGGCATCATTTCTCCATTTCTCTTCAGAGCTAAGTAACCAGGCAACAGCAATTTTCTGTCATTTTATCTTTTTCTTTAATCCCCCTAAAGGAATCACAGTAGGCTCAGAAGGAAACAATTTTCAAATCTATATATGTTTTTCTCATAATTCAGGGCCTTGGACTACAAGAGGAGAATGTTTTAATAGCTTGATGGCATTTATGGTGAAATGCGTATACTAGGCTTTATTTAGATCATTTATAAAATCTGTTCCTCTGGGCATTTGGCTTTTTAATCAATTTCTCTTTTCCCCTTTGTCCTTGTGAATTTCTGAAGCAATTTAAAGACAATTACTGGTGATGAAGGGATTTTGGACTTGGATTGTTCGAGATTAGGTAGTAGGGGAGAATGAAAGGTTAAATTGGACAGTTGATGTCCCAGGAAGAAGAAAAGGAACTAAAAAAGAAAATACGAGGAAATTAAAAAGTGAAATGAAATTGGTTCAAAAGTACAACTATGAAGTAAAGAAATTAGAATGTGAAACAATCATGGGACTGGGGCCACCATAATCTTTTTGTCTCCAGTTCTATTTTCATAAGATTTCATAGAATGTTAGAGATGAAAAGTATCTTAGAAATAAACCCACAGTAGGCCAGGCGAGGTGGCTCACACCTGTAATCCTGTCACCTTGGGAGGCTGAGGCAGGAGGATTGCTTGAGGCCAGGAATTCTTGCTCAGGCCATCCTGAGCAAGACCCCATGTCTCCAGAAAAAAGAAAGATTACCGGGGTGTGGTGGCATGCTTGTGTAGTCCCAGCTACTTGAGAGGCTGAGGCAGGAGGATGGCTTCAGCCCAGGAGTTTGAGGTTGCAGTGAGCTATGATAATACCACTGCACTATTGCCCAGGCAACAAAGACCTTGTCTCAAAAAAAAGAAAAAAGAAAGAAATCTATAATAAAGCCATCGTGGTCTTTCCCAGGGTTCCTTTACAGAGTAAAGCCTCAATAAATATTCACTGAATGGATAAGGGGATGGGAGATGACCCTGCCTTGTAATTAAAAGAAGAGAGCTGATCTATTAAATGGAAGGAACAACTACTTGTCACAGTGACACAATGACTTGTCATGTCAAGTGACTACTTATTACCAGGATTACTGTCACCTGGTTTATACATTCTATACA